TATAATTTCTGATAATACATATATTTTCTTTGTCAGATATTTTAATAAAAATGGCAGGAAAAAGCATCCCAAAGGGCCAAGCATACCGTGAAATTTTGGCTATATAGCGGCTAGCCTTATCAAAATTCCACGGTATGCTGTTGAGTTGATCAGGGGTGATGTATCTTACAATCTTGGAGCCAGCCTTGCCAATGCATTGCTCTTGAATTTGAGGGCTATGGGCTTTCTCATCCCCAATATTAATATAAAAAGATATTTATATAGATAAATGTAAAATTGATAGAGCAAAGGTTAAAGGAAAAAAAGTGATGTTTTGCATGAATTCAACAGTGCGAGCACTATCAAGGCTATCCTTGTTGACAAACACTAATGCCAATTCAGGCTGTGAAGGTGGATTTGTGCACCTCTAGAAAGAAGACTTAACAGAAATCTTCATACTATTGGTTGCTCCTTGCACCCAAATAAACTTCCATTTAGAGCTCTTTTTAAACATGTAGATGGTACCACAAAAAAGCCCTGCCACATTCAATGGCTCACTTGGAAGATTACGTGCAAATGATTACCATAATTTACCCCAAATATCATTTTCAGTTGTTCGCAGTCCTCTGGATTCTATTTTTAAAATTGAAAATGCAGATACCCTTAGTTGTGACCAAAGACTCCTTTATGAATATACAGTGGGTATTTGTCGAGGGAAGGTGGACTTTAGATTTGCATCATGGAAAATTGGTCCATTAAACCAGGCAAGGTGGTTAACTTTAGGCATCAGTCTGATGTGTTTATGGACTCATGGTGCATACCCACGAAATATTTCAACCAAATTCCACAGTTTAATAAATTTTATTGTGAATGTGTATGCCATTTGCCAGTTCCAAAATAAAAGAAATAACAAGTTCCACAATCAGCAAATGTATATTTTCAATATGATCCAAAGGATTAGGAAGCAACCATATGAAATCCAACGGATCACATTGAAAAATATACAATACGATGCTTTCGCCTTACTGCCTGAAAATATCTTATATTCAATGGTCAAATCTGATGAACGGGAAGTGAGGGAAGAAGCTATAAAAAGAATTTTGGCCATTAGGTTAGTAAATATTTATTCATATAAAATTGACTAAATTAGTTATACCGATTTATGGAATCATTTTAAGGATTTTATCTAATTTCAACACAAATATTAAAGCAGTACAGAGTGCAATTTTTTTTAAAAATAAATCAAATTAATTTTTATATTCTTTCAAGAGTGGGGAACAAACCAAGAAAAAATTAATAAGAATCACAACTATCAATTTTAAAGCTATGCACTGGAGACAGTTAAAAGATCTGTCATTAAGTGGAGTTTGTGAACCACCACTCACAGAAGAATTTTCTGAAAATGAACTTCGGGAATAATTATTAAATGGTACGAAACTTGACTTGCCAGATTTGTCCTCAAATTCTCAAGGCATGAAACGGGCAGTCAAGTTAACAACTGACGCTTTCAATCTGTGCATGGTTTTGAAGCAAGGCACCAGCACATAATAGCAAAAGGTTTGTGTCAGAAATTGTGACCATCAATTTCATCTGAGGGTTCTTATATGGAGCTATTTGACTCTATATATTAAGCCCTATTAAACTATTCTTTATTTTTTCATATTTGTTTGTTTGTTGTATTTTCATTCAAACTAGAAAAAAATCAATTTTTTGATGTATTCAACTAATACTGCTTAATTCATGAGGTAAAAACAGCATTTCAAAATCATCAGTGATAGGGGAGGGGCAAATTTTCAATTTGAAGTTTATTTATAATTTCTACGTTTTATTTCATTTTGCTAAAACAAAATAACAACATTCGCCGATTTAAATAGTGAAATTGTTTGTTTTTTATCAATATTTAGTCTAAATCTTCCAAAATTTTTCAGTGCTTTTTTTGTCCACGATCTTTGATGCCAAATGCTCAAAAAACCGTTGAAGTGACAAATCTAATTTTTTTGTATCAGTACTTAACTGGTCTATACACAACTTTCCGTACATTATTCTTTTTTGATATTTTAAAAAAAGACAAAAATCGACCTGCCCTAATATATATATATATATATATATATATATATATATATATATATATATATATATATATATATATATATATATTCAGGGTGTCCATAGAGTTCGTGTGCCCTTTAAAAATTTATAACTTTTATTTGTCTTTGCGATAGAAATAATTTGTAAAAAGGATTAGAAAGAAGTAAATCTATATATTTTGTAAGGTTTTATTGCAATTTTATTTAAGTTTCCACATGTCCTCCATCATTAGCAATACAAAGGGTAATACGATTTTGCAGTTCACGGAAAAAAATTGCCAACTGATTTACAGTAATGCCTGAAATCACATTAGTTATTTTAGCTATACTTAAAACTAGGTACATTAAACTTTATAACATTTTTACAGATTATTTCTATCGCAAATACCAATAAAGTTATAATTTTTAAAGTGCACACGAACTTTATGGACACCCTGTATATATATATATATATATATATATACACGAATAAAAAGACAAAAGAAAAATGTACTTGGCCGACGCGTTTCATCCTGTGAGGGACTTTATCAAGGCAATGTAGGATTTATTTTGCTGCACGTGTTTATATACAAAGGCTAGGATGTCATTGGTTTATAAAGGCTTATAAATTTGAGAACATTCGTGAATGATGATTTGGTGGTTGAAAAGTCAGCCAAAGCATATGGAAGACACAAAGTGTCATAATTCAAAATCTTGCAAAAAAGTATAATAAGCCAGTAATATTCAATCATTTTTTTAAATAAATACTGTTTTGATTTATATATAAACATGTGAATCAAAATAAATACTACATTATCTTGATAAAAGTCCCTCAAAGGACAAAATGCATCAGTTAGGAATAGTTTTTCCTATTGTTTTTTTTATTATTTTTTTTTCCTCTAAAGATACATTTATGAATTGAGCACTCTGAGTCACTGGCATGTTTATTTGAAATAAATACCTAAAAATTCACTTTTCTCTCTGCCAAGAGAGGATAGCTCAGGGGAAATATCTTTGACTGATGCTAAATAGAAAGAGACGACGAAAAACTATTCTTAGCTGTACGTGTTTATATACAAAGGCTGGGATGCTATTGGTTTATAAAGGCTTTTAAATTTAAGAACATTCGTGAATGATCATTTAGTGGTTGCAAGATCAGCCCGTGCATATGGAAGACACAAAGTGTCATAATTCAAAGTCTGGCAAAAAGTATAATGAGTCAGTAATATTCGAGAGTTTTTTTGGGTTTTTTTTTTAAAGAATATTGTTTAAATTGTGATTACATTGTTATGGTGTGAGATGAACATACATGCTATACATCTTTAAAGGCATGAGGCGCCAAGATTGTTATGGACATACGTTCATCTCACAATCTAAACAATATTCTTAAAAAAACGTAAAAGAAACCAAGATAAGTTTTCCTTTTTTCTCTTTTTATTAATTTTGTCTCCTCTACAGATACACTCTATCAGATTATTTACATACACACACGTACTCGCGAGCGTACACACACATATATATATATATATATGAAAATATAACATCTAAAACAGTTCAATATTTTTGCTCATCAAAATCATAAAATAAGTAGCTTAATCTTTTCTATTTGTATTTAAAGAAAAGAAATATCCTCAGCAAAACTCTAGCTTGATTGTCTCTTGAGTCTTGCATAAAGTGAACATTTAGTAAAATGACTACTTTTCTCTATATACGAAGAGGTATCGAAAAGTAAGTGTAATCTCCCACATGTACACCATTACGCCAGTAAATTAAATGATTTACATATTATTTAACTTTGGCCATCGTCTCATTTTGAAAAGTTCCCAAAGTACTATAGAATGGGCCGGAATCTCTCCTGATTTAAATCCAATCGAGAATCTGTGGTCAATCTGCAAGGAAAGACTTTGTGGAATGGACATACGAAATACTAACATGTGCTCTGAGGTTTGTTTCATTGGAAAAATACGAAAATAAAAGTAAATAATAACGTTTCAATTAATTAATTTTAATTAATAACAACGAAATTATTCGTTTTCTTTCAATTAATTTGCATAAGTATATATATATATATATATATATATATATATATATATATATATATATATATATATATATATAAAAAATATAGCATCTAAAACAATTTAAGATGTTCATATTTAAAGTTTTGGCCATCAAAATCATAAAATTATTTTCTTAATTTTTTTGTATCTTTAAAAAAGAAACATCTTCAGTAAAACTCTAGATTGATTGGCTCTTGAGCCTTGTATAACGTGTACATTTGGCAAAAAGACTACTTTTCTCCATATACGAGGAGGTATCGAAAAGAGTAAGCCCCCAAATGTACACCATTACTCCAGCAAATTAGATGATTAATATATTATTTAATTTTGGCCACCATCTCATTCGGAAAAGTTCCCATGGGAAGACAGTAATTACAGTGCCTTCCCGTGCCTCAAGGAGTAGCCGTTGAAAGTGGCTCTTCAGCTTCGACTGAATTTGAAAGAAGACGACAAAGACTCATTGTATCACATCTTGTGGTGTTTTGCTGGTAATTAGTGTGTCCCGATCGATCAGCATCTGCAAATGACACTTACAAATAAAAAAAAATGACAAAAACATTTCGAGGGCCTAGGTACTGGATTTGTCAAGCTGCTTGCAAAATTTGTGATATTGGCTTTGCTCGACATTTGTCAGTTAGCATGAAGTAACCAGGAGTAGATGACAAAAAGACTATTGTCAGACTGAGTATACTCTGTACCAATGGGCGTTAACTGCATGTGGATTTCTTTTGAACTGTATAAGCACAGCAGTAGGTAGGATCCGGGATCAAGGTTTGTATAGATGGGCTTTTAAGTATATGCATTCTGTGTCAGATTCGTTAAATAAAATGGAGAAATATTTGTATCAGATTTGACTAAAAAATATTGTAAGTTTGAAATATAAACTTTTCCTAAGACTTCCCTACTATCTATCTATCTATCTATCTATCTATCTATCTATCTATCTATCTATCTATCTATCTATTCACGCAACTATCTATCTATCTATCTATCTATCTATCTATCTATCTATCTATTCACGCAACTATCTGTCTATTCACGCATCTATCTATCTATCTATCTATCTATCTATCTATCTATCTATCTATCTATCTATTCACGCAACTATCTATCTATTCACGCATCTATCTATCTATCTATCTATCTATTCACGCAACTATCTATCTATTCACGCATTTATCTATTCACGCATCTATCTATCTATCTATCTATCTATCTATCTATCTATCTATCTATCTATCTATCTATCTATCTATCTATCTATCTATTCACGTATCTATCTATCTATCTATCTATTCACGCATCTATCTATTCACGCAACTATCTATCTATCTATTCACGCATCTATCTATCTATCTATCTATCTATCTATCTATCTATCTCTCTATCTATCTATCTATTCACGCATGTATCTATCTATTCACGCAACTATCTATCTATCTATCTATCCATCTATCCATCTATCTATCTATCTATTCATGCATCTATTCATCTATCTATCTATCTATCTATCTATCTATCTATCTATCTATCTATCCATCCATCTATCTATCTATTCACGCAACTATCTATCTATTCACGCATCTATCTATCTATCTATCTATCTATCTATCTATCTATCTATCTATCTATCTATTAACGCAACATTCACGCATCTATCTATCTATCTATCTATCTATCTATCTATCTATCTATCTATCTATCTATCTATTCACACAACTATCTATCTATTCACGCATCTATCTATCTATCTATCTATTCACGCAACTATCTATCTATTCATGCATCTATCTATCTATCTACCTATTCACGCAACTATCTATCTATTCACTCATCTATCTATCTATCTATCTATCTATCTATCTATCTATCTATCTATCTATCTCAGTCTGTAAACGCCGGAAACGCTGTAAATCACCGAAGTCAATCAACGTCGAGCCGAGTCAGTAACTAAATGACTGACCACTTGGCAATTCCAGCTGCGGTAAGTTTGGATGTGCAGGTGGTGCACAATTGGAAATCATAGAGCCAAGTTCCATTCCAAGTCGGGCCCGTTATATTGGCTTACGCGCAAATACATTTGGAAAAATTATGAATCCAACTCTTCTCCGACCATCTATGGTTGAATTAATAGGAATTGTAACAATGAAACATTATCCTCAGATTCTTATAATCTAAAAGTATTTTATGGATTTAAATAACCTGTATAAATTTAATAAGCAGTAAAAAGAAATCAGTCTATCTATCTATCTATCTATCTATCTATCTATCTATCTATCTATCTATCTATAGAGAGCGACAGTTACTCTCGTTCTCTGCTTGAGCACTATGGAGAAAGGGAATTTTTAAAACACTGGCTGCTCCAGTTTATAAGGCATCGCTCTTCAGTTATGAATTGAGCGCTCTGGCTGCTGATTTAGCGCTTATATACATCACGTATATAATACGTTAAAAATTTTTTTATATATATATATATATATATATATATATATATATATATATATATATATATATATATAGCTATAAGCTTTTATATATCCCCATTCAGACTGTTTCTCTGTGATACAGTAAAAACTGGATGCGAATATATATATATATATATATATATGTCTCCGTCTGTTTATATCTATCTCCCTTAAACTATGCATACCTCTCTATGAATGTAAGTTGCGCCATATCTATCTATCTATCTATCTATCTATCTATCTATCTATCTATCTATCTATCTATCTCAATCTGTACATATCTGTCTGAGTCCGTAAACATCTATCCGTTCATTTATCTATAATAGCTGATTGACTTACGTATATATCTCGAGTGTTATTCCTTTTTCTTTGTACGTCTGTGTCAATCGGATTAACACTCACCCTCAATTTCTTTCCTCTAACATTTTCCGAGTGAGTCGAATAATCTGCGTATTTAATTAAAACCCCCCGAGAAACACGAATCTAAAAACATTGTTATTATTAAATAATGGCAACTGAGAAAAATAATTTCGAATACAAAAGCCGATTCAACGCCGCAAAAACTTAGTAAAGATCGTTATATATTAAAAAATAAAAAACTATAATCATCGATTGCAAAAATTTGTTTTGATCGAGATAAATTCAAATGTAATTTTTTGTTTATTTTTTGGTGAAGGATTCTATTTTAAAATTGATGCGGTTCTGTATTTAAATCAGGACTAAAAGCGTAAAAGGAAAGGGTCGAAAAAAATAAGAATTTTTATGACAAGGAATCATCATCGGTTTTATTTTGTATTATTCTTTATTGCATTAATATATTTTAAAACGAGAGGAGGATGAACTTAAAGGTTAAAAAAAAACAAATTAGAGACCCATAAACAAATATATTCTGATTTTAAGAATCATTTTATTTACAACATAACGAAAAACTGTTTCTTCGCCCTGAGGTTATTTTTCTATCGTGTCATTCATAAAATTATTTAAGCTCGATATTTAAATCAGCAATTTTATTGTTCCTGACCTGGATATCTCGGCTTCAGTCACCTTTCCACCGCCGTCATGTAACTTGCTTGTGCCTTTTCTATAAATACTTTCATGGTAATTGTCGAGATGCCGGGTTAGTGGCAAGGTCTCGTCAATCACAGCAAGATGTAATCGTCATTTCTATGCTAGCAGTTTCTTTTAAGGTACTTTTCGCTCGTGGAACTCTCTTCCGACTTCATGCATCCTGCAAAAATATAAATGCAATGTCAATCGTTATCGACTGTCTTCTTGTTTACTTTTCTATTGTTCTCGCTGCTTAGTAATGTTTCTTTTGTTTCGTATTCTTTTACTCAAAAAAAAAAAAAAATAGTACACGCTCTCCCGTAGGATTCGAACCTGCGTCACCTTGGGCAGGGAAATCGTCCTTAGATCCGACGTGATTTACAAATCTCCTTTATATCCCGAACACACAAGACAGAAGAGGGATATAAATAAATATACTGTTTCATAGATAAACGGAGCGTCTACGAAATTAGGTTAATCTGTTATATATATATATATATATATATATATATATATATATATATATATATATATATATATATATATATATATATATATATATATATATATATATATATATATATATATATATATATATATATATATATATATATATATATATATATATATATATATATATATATATATATATATATATATATATATATATATATATATATATATATATATATATATATATATATATATATATATATATATATATATATATATATATATATATATATATATATATATATAAGCGTATGATACACCTAATTTACATAAGCGGACTACTGACCATATAAATATGGTTTGGTACCGGAAGACAGGGAAGATAGTAGAGATTAAGAAATTGAATCCAGAGACTCTGCCCGACTGCGATTTAGTCAACCCATTATGCAGGAACAGTCTTCCCAAGAATATACCAAACTAACTGTAAATATTGTGTACCTATTCTTTGTTTCAATACATTTTGTTAACGTACATTTTGTGTTGTATTATTCCATGCTTATTTAAGCTTCAACAATATATATACATACATACATATTTTTTTTTTTTTGAATAAAAGACAGACCACGTTAAGATTCCATGTAATAAGCTATTTCACCATTACCCCTTTAACAGGGTTCTGGATCATCCGACTTTACTTCCAAAAGCTGAAATGAAGAATGAAAAGAAATTCACACGTTTTTGACGGACCTCATCAAGTATACGTAAAATTAACGAAGTGAGGGAGTGAGGTGGGAGAGAGGATATGAGTGTGTCATATGTATCATTTCAGTTTCCTATTTTTAACCCCAGTGTGTCAGCTAGATGTTACTCAAATTTAACGCGTCTCGTCTTTAGATATAGATGGCTAAGGGGTGAATGATAAGAACGACATTAAAGGAAGAAGTTACAACAACCCCAATCAATTACATGACAGGTTTATATATATATATGTGTTTGTGTGTGTGTATTTTTCTGTGTATTTGTGTGTGTGTATACACACACACACGCACACATACATACACACGTTACTGTGGAGTAATGGATACCGGCTCGGATTGAGGTATCAGAGAGCCGAGTTCGATTTCCAGTCGAATCCATTACATTCACTTACGTGCTAATACCCTTCTTCTTCTACCCCCAGCTATGGGTAAATAGCAGGACAGACTGGGTTCGATAGCCTTGGATGGCAACTGTTCTACAGCAGAAAGAAATGGCAACCTACACGTCACCCATGTATCGAAAGATACATGATCGCCTACTTGTGTATCACGCATGGCACATAATATGATATATATATATATATATATATATATATATATATATATATATATATATATATATGTATGTATATATATATATATATATATATATATATATATATATGCAGTATGCCTCACGCTTTATGCGCCAAAACATTTACATTCTCATTCCTATTTCATTTCAGATGTATCGTGCAATTTAGTACTCCTGCTAACAGTGGCCAATCAAAGCAACTTGGAGATAGTGAACTTATTGAAAGCGGCCAGGGGAATAATTTCAATGGTAGTGTTCAAGTGGTGAGAATGCTAACATTCCATTTTCGAATGCTGTGATTAACCATTCTGTCACAAGTCATCGTGGCCGAGGGTTTGAACACATTCGCCTTGTTCAACTACTAATATTACTAGATTGTTTGCTCTGTTAAGATAGTTACATTGTAAATTACTGGCCAGTTGTCAGTGTGTTGAACAAGCCCCATGGATTCACGTTAACGAGCAAACTGCCAATATATATATATATATATATATATATATATATATATATATATATGGTATAAAATGACAATTGGAAAAAAATCTTAGATTTTGCTGAAGCGTTCCGTCATCCGACTTTTTCAAGGCAAAAAATCAAATCGAAATGTTTTTTGTTGTTATAGTTACGTTAAAAAAATCAAAATTTAAAAGATAGACGCTTCTGTCTAAGCCTTTTTTTCTGGTTAATGTAAATAAACTTTATAGTTAACGGTGATGAATATATATATATATATATATATATATATATATATATATATATATAAATATATATATATATATATATATATAAACAGTATTAAACAGCATTTACCGGCCTGAATGTCCGAGAAATTTTCATCGAAAATATTCGTCCTCCGACAGGAATCGAAACTGTATCCTATACGGAACCGTCATTTAGCTTTTATACACATCTATCCCCACTCTCTATATCACCTTACATCAACTGAATACTATCCCTCAAAAGTGTATAAAAATATATGTCAATTTAAATTAATTTTTCACCCTTGGAAGTGTGGTGTGTTGAACCAGGAAAAAAGAAATTCCTTGGAATAAATTATAACCATGGACCCTTAAAGTTGTTTGTTTTCATTAAATTTTCATTAAATATATATATATATATATATATATATATATATATATATATATATATATATATATATGTGTATGTGTGTGTGTGTGTGTGTATGTGCCGAACTCTCTCGTCATTTTCGCTGTACGATGGTAAAACAGCTCGGTTCTTAGAATCAAACTGGGAAACTATCCGTATGTCTGTTTTGTTAACAAAGTTGAAGGCTGGTGCAGAATGAACCACGCTTTTCGGAAGAAGCGAATAAAGAGAACTGGTCTTCAGAGATCTTCAGAGATCTCCAAACGATCTTCATCATGTTTTGAATCCAGAATTGTCCTTCTCCTACACCTGTTACCAACCAAGGCTACAGGGCCCAGCCTTTTCTGATATTTGCCCTGCCATCTGCACAGATGTTCACATTTAAATGTATTTTAAAATGGAAAGAAGTGACCTTGACATAACCAATGAAAAGCCGTAAAACCGGGGCATTTTTACAAGGAAACGCGAATTTGTTTGCTTGTTTGATTAGAGCATATCAACTCTTTGTGGGTCGGTCACTTAATAATGTAATTTAATTTTCTTGGGATTATTCATAATTTCTTTTATAAAAAAACTATTACTGGTAATATTCTTTTTACAAAAATGTATTAGTGGTAATTTTTTATTATGAAAATATATTGTTGGTATGTTTACTATAGAAATGTATTTTTATATTTTCATAGTATTTTGACCCTATTTAGGGAGTGGGGTCAACTATTTACCCATATTTGGGACTCTAACAAGTGTTATCATCTCGGATCAGTGTGGACTTGGGGACAACAGCAATTAATTGGTGATTACATGCTCCTCCCTCACCTCGATCTTTGGCCTTGTTACAGTGTGCCTGCGTGTATATATATATATATATATATATATGAAAATTTCTCGGACAAATGGACAAGGTCCATAACATTTTATTTATCTATAAAATAACATTTTTTTATGTTTAACGTTGTTATTTTATAGATACATTTCTTATTTAAGTCATTTGTTTGCTCTGTTTACGCCAAGCAGTTATTAAATAACATTTATGGAAGATTGAGTTTTAAGCAGTGGCCGACCTTTTTGGTTAAAGCACGTCAGCGTATATGACGGTTCCGTATAGGATGCAGGTTCGAATCCTGTCAATGAACGAATATTTTCTATGAAAATTTCTCGGACATTCAGGCCGGTAAATGTTATTTAATACTGTTTATCATAAACAGAGCATTTGCTTAAATACTTGTATCTATAAAATAACAACGTTAAACATAAAAAAATGTCTTTAATATATATATGGTGTCCATAAAGTTCGTGTGCACTTTAAATTTACAAATTTTATAATGTGCACACAAAGTTTATGGACACCCTGCATATATATATATATATATATATATATATATATGTTAATCGTTTTAACCCCAAGCAAGCAAGGCAGTAAAGTCCTAAAACACAAAAGGTTTACAGGGTGTGGAAGAGTTACGAAGAGAAACATTACTAATGGTAATGAGCGGCAAGAGAAAAGAGTAATCAGGAATACAGTAGCGATTGACATTACGTTTTAGTTTTTTGCAGTATAAAATTGGCTGGAAATCACAAGCAAGAAGTGTGAAAAAAGAAATTGTCAGCATGGAACTTACAGTTACATCTAGCCAAAGATTATTATTACCATTACTAACCAGATTAACATACAGGTATCCTGATATGAGAAAGCACACAGAAACACACACAGACAGAAACACAAAAACAAAGAAACACACAAACACAGAAACTCACACACACATAAACACACTGTTGTAGAGTAGTTTTCACAGTGGAGGCTTGTATTTTAGGTTCGACGTACAAAATGTTAGGAACTTGAAATAAGAGTTAATGACGCAGCAATCTAGTTGTGATGGTTGGTACTTCAATGTCCGATATCGACTGACTCGCTCAACACCACTCAGCCCACCTGGCGACCGCTACTACTACTACTACTACTACTACTACTTATTACGTGTGGGAGAGTCTATTAATAATAGAATATGTACGTCAGGTATAACACACACACAACACGTTTTCCGGTATGACCATCACATGATATCAATGCAAGATTCATTTGTGACTGACGATGTCAAGCAATTCTTGTGCATTAAATTTTTAAAGGGAATATGTAAATATAATATTCTAAGCTCTCAGATTTGCAGACACAGATCCGTTCGTCAAGAAAAGATAACTCTATTAAATTTATTACCAGATATTATATTTATGTTAAATACGCTATCAATACATAAAAAATAATTTTAGACATAAAATAAATTTTAAATTTATCCTGTCTTAAATAACTCTATCGCATGGCAACATTTGATAATGAATTGTTCGATCAAGATAATTTTTAACGTTAATAAAATTTAAAATTAAACCATTACCTTCATATAAAAGCATTTGTATAAAATAAGTAAAAGAACAACAAAATATAACAAAATTTAAGCTATTGTAATAATCAAAATTACTGGTTGTAGTCTTGGAGTATTACATTTATTTCTTTATTTCTATTTTTATTTACCAAAAATATCTAGTGTATACATAGGAATCAACACTGCATAGTGACTGTCAGTTTCATGTTTCAATGTGATCATCAGATCGCATTCAGGATTTAATATAAATTTTCTAAAGGAAAATAGCATTTAAAGATTTTTTTCTTGAAGACTTATTTTAATTTTAGCACAGCATTTCTAGCGTTGCTTCCAAATGTTTGCAAAACAACATTAGAAAGGCTTCAGACAGACATAAGCGATTATCGAATAACATACACTACAGTTCAAAAGTTTAAAGCCACTCCAAAATCATCGTGAGATGAACTTGACAGAAGAGTGAAAAAATGAAGAAGAGCTCTTAGATTCATTGAAAAGGAATGAAACCAATTATCAAATTGAGAAACTTTTGCAACGAATGCCTACAATTTGTGCTGCAGTAATCAAGGATATATTGACGAGAGCAAAATTTAATGCTAATTTTTTTTTCTTTTTGTCATAATAAACTTTCTAATAAAAAGTAGTCTAACGTTTTTTTAACCATGTATAAAAGTTTTCTCTTACTTAAATATAAAAAAATCCCTACTTTTTGGGCCAATTTAAAAAAAAATTATCACAGGTGGCTTCAAATCTAAAATCTGTAGAGTAAATTACAATAATGAAGCAAGAAACACTAAAATCTCACTTATTTTTTTTTTATCTCCACTTATTTATCTCTATAGAAACACACACTTATTAAATCACGCCAATGAGAATGTTCGTACATACCAATATTTTCTACTCTGCCTATTCACCAACGCAAAAAGACGAGACGAAAATTTTATTAATGGCCACTTTAGATCAACGATCCTCAATAAGACGAACTCATTGATTTCTTTTTGACTTATTCGTCTGTGAAAGAGGTGATAAAGTGAGTTCTTCAAATCAAAAACTCCGTGGAACTTCGATTGAGTCGAGTTCTTCAAATCACATACACTGCGTAATTCCAAAACCTCAAGTAACGACATATCTAATTTTAACTCTGATTAATTGGCATTTTGAAGAAATCAAATTGATTTCCTCAATTCAATTTTTCTTTTAATTCACAAAGGTTTTTGTTACTTTGAACTCAATATAAATTAAAATCACTAATTCTTTTCAGCGTTTTTAAAATTTGAATTTTGAACTGTTTCCTCCACATCCAGACCAAAATCCTAATGCTGTTTTCTTCAGACAAAAGATGAAGGGTAGATTTTCAATTCTGGGATAATCCTAATCCCAAAAAGATTTGATATGTCTATCTCTACTTGTCTCAGTTATTATTCTGAATATTTTCACGTCGGATCAATTTAAAGGATATTTAAGGAAAACCTAATACAGTTTATAATTAAAAAAAAAGGTTCATAACATTCATCGAGTGATGAGTTAATGCATCTTTAAAATTTAGTTAGTGAAGGGATTTCGCCATTATATATCATTAACTTTACTAATTTCCTTTTTGTATGAATGATTCATTATAATATAAATAAACTGCAGCACATAATTGGTTTAAAAGAACTGATCCAACGTGCAAACATTCGGGAAAACAACTGAGATATTACTCTACTTATTGAACTATTTAGTTCATGCCACATTGACTGAAAGCAATTGGTTTATACCAACGGCTTCCCATACTTAATACTTCTCGTTTTTCACTCTCGCGTGGTCATGTGTGACGTCATGAGCTTCGACGCGATTTTCACTTCCGCGTCTCGTATATACGAGTTTGTCGTTACTTGAAAACTTTTCATGCAGCAAGGACGGACTATCATTGTTGTTTCGTCCGTTGTTGTTTGATTTATTGAAATTGTCATCTTTGATAATGGTTTGCTTTAGGGGAAAGCTTAGATTGGATTTAAACATGTATCAATATGGTGTTTTCATTTCGTCTTTCAACGATAATGTGATTAAGCTTATCAGACAATATGAAAGGAACTTACTTAAAATAAATAGACAAAACTTGTCTATATTATTTAATGAAACATGCATTAATGAAAAATTCCTACCTAAATATATATATATATATATATATATATATATATAGGTTAAGGCACAATAGGCCTAATTTATTAGAAGTATAATTATATATGCCTATTTTACTTACTAGTTATTTAATTTGTTATGAATTCTTTTTGAGAAGACATTTCAATTCCGTGCCTGAATGATTCATTTACATGTCGAACAGTTTTCATTTGTCATTTTACTGAATTCATATTTAATTCTTTCTTTAAGTTCCTTAATATTTCTTAGGCGCGTCTGATAAAAACTGATTTCAAATGAAACCACCTAAAAAAAATCTAAGTCTGTTAACTCAACAAGACCTTTTCGACATATTAACCCCACAGTGCGTGACTCACCCTGTATATAAGTGATGAGAAATTTTAATGAATTGAGTAAAACTCACGAATTACTTCTTTGGGTGACCGCGAGTAAGTAAAACTGCCGGACACCAAACCGCGGATAAAGTGAAACCGCAATAACCTTTCTAATAGAAGACTCTATATTGATCGCTTGATATTTCTTTTTCTATACGATGAGCATTTTAAAAAATTTAAACACAAAGATATACAATGATATACTTATAAAGTAACGGTTTCTTTATGCGTCAGGTTTTTACAAAACTATGGTGATAACTCCCTGTCTGAATTTCTGGGATGCTGAGTCATCATTATTTACATTTTTAATTATCCGAAAGAATTCTGGTAATCAAGCTGAAAGTAAATCCTTTCAACGTAGCTACAATAATAATGTACGCAACAACGGCACAAAGAAAGGAAGCAGAAATCGAATCTTTCTGCTCCAAAGCTCATTGCAAATCGCAAGAAGTCATAATTATTATGGGAGCCCTGAATGCCAAAGTAGGCAGAGAGAGAGAGAGAGAGAGAGAGAGAGAGAGAGAGAGAGAGAGAGAGAGAGGGCAAGGGATATAGCCGGAAAATTCGGACTAGCAACCCGCAACGAAATTGATCTAAAGGCGCACGGCCATTGACAAGGTAATAGCCAACACATGGTTCCAAGAACATCTGAGATAATTATGGACAAAATAAGCCCAGGAGGAGAAACTAAAAACCAAATTGACTACATAAATATCAACAAAAGATTCAGGAATGCAATTGTTCATTGCAAAACCTACCAAAGTGTCGACTCCGGAAGTGATCATTCCCCTGTCATATGTAAACTAAGAATGAAACTACGGAAACTGAAAAAAGCCTGACACAGCACCCAAATTGCAATACAACAAACTCTTGAGTGACCCGTACCCGAAAGAAAGAAAAATTATATGGGGTGTGAAAAGAAGATATGTAGGACTAAATGGAGATGGAAACTGAAATGGGACACTAAGAGAAACTTTAATGACATCAGTAAACAATATCAACCCAAATGTGAATGGACGAAAAAGAAAAAAAAACGAATGGGTCGTCACTGATGAGATTCTCGACATGATATAAAGGAGATAGAAAACCGTCAAGATACCGAACGGAATACAGAAAACTACACAACGAAATAAGGACCAAATGCAGACAGGCTAAAGAAGAGTGGCTAAACCAAAAAATGTGCAGAAATACAGAGATTGAGTGATACCAACAAAGGAGATATGCATAAAAAATAAGGGAACTAACAGGACAGAAGACCTGTTCGTCAAAAGGTTGCATAAAATCAAAGGATGAAACGTTCATATTAGAGAAGGAAAAATTCTTTGTGCCCCAACAGCACAGAGTAAGAAAGAAGAAATCGAATGTTTCCACTACATGCTAGACAAGGCCAAAGGTCATTACAAGAAATCTTAATTATCAAGGGAGACCTGAATGCCAAAGTGGGAAGGGAAAGGACAAGGGAGATAACTGGCAAATTCAGACTAGGAGCGTCTTGAAAAATAGGTCTAATGGTGCACGTAATGAGAAAGGAAGGGTTGGAAAATCTGATAGAGGGAAAGAGGGACAAGGGAGAGCAATGCGTTGCTTACTTAACAGGCTTATGCAAGTGGATAGCAGAACAGGGTCTATGAGAAATAAAGAAAAGATAAAACTTATTGAGAACTACAAGGGAGAGGAGGAAGTGGAGAGCCATGATTGACTACGTTCTAGAGGAACACGGTACATTAAAGAAGAATTGTTGAAATTTAAGAAATCCTAAAACAGTGGCCATTTGGTAAATATAATAATAATATATGTAAACTAAGAATGAAACTAGGGAAAATGAAGACGCCTAACACAGCACCTAAACTGGAATATAAGAAAATCCTGAGCAACCCGAACTTGAAGGAAAAATGTATGGACAGTGTGACAAGAAGGTATAAACGATACAATGGAAATGGAAACTCGAAATAGGACACAATAAGAGAAGCTTTAGTGACATCAGAAAACGATGTCATCCGAAAGAATGGACGAAAAAGAAGAAAAAACGAATGTATTACTGATGAGATTCTCGATATGATGCAAAGAAGCCAGAAAACTGTCAAGATAGGGAATGGATTATAGAAAACGACACAACAAAATAAGGACCAAATGCAGGCAGGCTAAAGAAGAGTGGCTAAACAAAAAATGTGCAGAAATAGAGATTGATTTACACCCACAAATTTGATATGCATAAACAAATAAGGGAACTAACAGGACAGAAGACATGTTCGTCAACAGGTTGCATAAAATCAAAGGATGAAACGTTCATATTAGAGAAGGAAAAGTTTCTTCAGCTCTAGAACTAATATATTTGAGAATTCTTCCACGATGAAAGAGAACAACCAGTAATACGCAGAACTACCAACGGGACTGAAATTCTGAAAAATGAAGCTGCATTAGTGAAATTGTGAAATTGAACAGAAACAAGGCGGCAGGGCCAGATGGAATTGTAACAGAAATGCTGACAACCTTAGACTATTTTGACATAGACAAGATCACAGAAATAATAAATGAAATATACAACCGTGTGGATATAATGGAAGATCTCAGAAGATTTATTTTCGTAACACTTCCTAAGTAACCAGGCGCAAACGAATGTGAACGCCACTGAACAATCACCATAATGAGCTACATAACAAAATTCTGATGAATAGAGCGCGCAGTAGAATCAGGCCAGAGATAGGACAAGAACAGTGCGGGTTTGTTAAAGACACCGGGACAAGGAACGCGATATTCATGCTCAGAATGTTATCAGAAAGAGCAATACAAATGCAGAAGAACGTGCATCTGTGTTTTAGAGACTACGCAAAGGCATTCGACAAAGTACGCCACAAAGATCAGCCACCTTGATATATCTGGGAAAGATATCAGAATAATCAAGACCCTATACTGGCAGCAAACTGCATTCATGCGGGTAAAGAATGAGTTCAGTGAATATACAAAAATAGAAAGAGGCGTAAGGCAAGGATGTGTCTTCTCACCGGACTTATTCAACTGATACGGTGAGGCAATGCTGAGAGAACTGGAAATCCTACCAGCATTCATCATTGACTATCACCATCTTAACAACATAAGAATCGCAGATGACACAATGCTGATAGCAAACACAGAAAGGAAATTACAAATTCCCACACAGAAGGTAGCGAAGGAGAGAGAGAGAGAGAGAGAGAGAGAGAGAGAGAGAGAGAGAGAGAGAGAATTAAGCATAAACTACAAGACGGAATGCATGGTCAGAAGCAAAAAGATGAGCACGAAATGCGATTTACAGATATCGATAGATAGATAGATAGATAGATAGATAGATAGATAGATAGATAGATAGATAAGAGGTTTAGATAGATAGAGAAGAGGCTGAGACAGATAAGTAGATAGATAGATAGATAGATTGATAGATAGATAGATAAGAGGTTTAGATAGATAGCGAAAAGGCTAACAAACAGATAGACAGATTAGATAGATAGATAGATAGATAGATAGATAGATAAGAGGTTTAAATAAATAGAGAAGAGGCTGAGACAGAGATACATACATACAGACAGACAGACAGATAGATAGATAGATAGATAGATAGATAGAGAAAGCGAGACACTAAAATCAAGCAGATTCAGAAATTTAAATATCTGGGAAATGTTCTGACAGACAACGGTAAGTGCGACGCTGAGGTCTGAAGACGTATTGGGATGGCCGAAGATGCATTCCAAAAACTAGGCAGAGTATTACGAGACAGGAGGATTTCGTTGGTAACAAAGAAAAAAAATACTGAATTGCTACGTGATATCTGTCCTCTTTTACGGCAGCGAATGTTGGACGGTATTCTAAAAGATGAAGAAGAGACTCGAGGCAATGGAGGCATGAGTCGACAGAAGAATACCTAGGATATCATGGACCGAACATGAGGTTTTGAAAGAGGATTCAAACAAGGAGGAAGCTTATACTTAACATCAGGAAGAGGCAGCTGAAATTTCTGGGACACGTAATGAGAAAGAAGCGCTTAGCGAATCTGATACTCATCGGTCGAATAGAGGGAAAGAGAGACAAGAGAAAGCAATATGTGACATACCTAGCGGGCTTAAGCAAGTGGCTGAAAGAACAGGGTTTGGGAGAAGTAGCAAAAGGACAAAACATATTGAGAACTACAAGAGATAGGGGCAAATGAAGCTACGTCCTGAAGGGACACGGCGCATGAGACAGATGGATTACTGAAAGTTGCCCGGATCGTCAATCACATGATGAAGGGTGCACAACAGTTGAAACGATGTGATATCAACAACAACGTGATATCAACAACGGTTTATCAATAATTTGAAGGGTATTTAAAGCCAGAAAATAATTTTTAGATTATAAGAAGTTTTTGAGATAATAATAGTTTAGTGATAAAAGTTTTATTAATTAACCCATAGCTGACGGAGAAAAAGTGGAGTCTTACCTTTCCCAATGTCAGTGAATATAACGAACCTAACAGGAATTGGAACTCGGCTCTCCGATTAACAATCCCAAATTAATATCTATTACACCACCTACACATCCAAGTTTACAAAACCTGGTATTCGCAAGCGGTAACCCATCAAGGTACTAACCAAGCTCGGTGTTGCTTAAGAACAACAAAGATAGGGACAATAGTCCGCGTGTAAATACTGTCAACAGATATGGCGATTTGTCTGTGAAGAATTTTTTTCACTTCTTTAAAAGTAATTCTGTTATGACATCTGTTTCTTGTCAACCCAGACAGCCATGTGTTTTCGATTATGACTGTGTACGTATGCGCTCAGGTCTGTGTACGCATGCGCTTTTAACTTCGCGAGCAAAATCCTAATATTTTTGCTCGTATTGATTTCGACCTTTTACCTTTTCAGAAGATATTGCTGTACAACTTTAAGCTGTTCCCTTTAATCGATAAATACAAAAAAGATCGAAATTGAAAATCTTAAAATCAAAAACGACGCCAAACCAATAACCACAAAATTAATTGTTTTGCCTGTGACTACAAAAAACAGAAAGGTCAAAATAATCTCATCGAAGATTTAAACTCGACTTTAATTCATTCATTTGTAGGTTTGACCTTTACTTATATTCACTGCAGAAAACTTTTACTTGCCCATCCTATAATTTGACGAAATATTGCTTATGAAATGGTGCTCTTTTTTTTTGGATGTTTTGTTGCGAGAATCAACGCTACATAGAAAAGAAAATCAACCCAAACTAATCATTCTGTACATTTTATGTTCGTTTTGCCACTTTCGACAAACAGTATAAGCTTCAATCTTTCTTCTCGCTACGTAGACTTGGTTTCGTATTCTGCCTTTGACCAGCAAAGATGGTTTTTTATAAGCATTTGTCTTCTGCTCTTTCATATACGAAAACGAGGCACCTGATATCAGTATCCATTTTGTTTTGGTTTGTATTTCCTTCCTATTAATTTCAGTTTCCATCCATCGTAATTACCCAAATACTCAATCTGCGACCATTAATAGACAAACATTAATTTTACCTTGCATTTTAAGCCTCTCCAATGCCTCAATTCGATCCACCGAGGCCCTAATCATTAGGTAAAACCTTTAGCTTTAGATTTGAACAAGAATCTCTAAATATATAGCAAGAGAACCGGGACATATGTGGCAACATACAAAGCATGGATGAATGGTAGATTTCGGGTACTTCGGCTAGTAAATAATCAAGCGATCTTTTTACTTTCTTCTTCGAAGACAAGGAGTTAGTTATGTTTCTAAATTCAGAGAAAGACTCAATTGTCAACGTGTGACGTGCGAAAAGGATGTTCGCCTTCTTCAAAGAGACATGAAAAAAAATCTGACGCCGACTAAGCGAAACCTTAAACGAAAACATGCAGAGATTGATCGTTATGAAGCCTGGTCAGACATTTTCAATTTAGAGCCTCATTACCATATTTAGTTTTAATTCTGTATGCTGTTCGGCGCACTCATTGACTCACTTGCAACATTCTTATTTCTCTTGTCTGCGATTAGGTTTTTCTTCCTCCCATTTGGGTATTAATGGGTGGATTGTCATGAGACTAGCACAGTGGGAATTAAAAGCAATTCATAAAGTAAAAGGAAAATATATTTTCAAAGAGTGAAATAAAAAAGGATTATGGTTACTTTTAACAACTTTTTAATATCTCTTACGGAAGAAAGACAGAAAAGCAAATATGTAATGGCAGTGAACCACACAAGTGTCCTCTTCAATGAAACGGCCAGGTTAGAATTGTCATATATCAAGCAACGTTATAGACAGTGATTCGTCATTTAGGACTTCAATTTCTTAAGTTGTCATACAATTGTTCTTGATGCAGAAAAATTATTATATATCGATATCTCATATATATATATATATATATATATATATATATAATATATAAATATATATAAACCTAAAAGACCAGGTAAACCTACCTAGGTTTTTTACACGGATCGTCAGGGTAACTGGCCAGTTTAACCTGACGAGCCGTGTAGGTGAAACCTAGGAAGGTTTGGGTGGCTCTTTAGGTTCATAGTTAGATTTGCTCTACTTAGTGTATTGAGCACTTGACATAGTTACTTTTGCTTTACTCGTGTTGGACGTTTTTTTTCTTTGGACTCTGAGGTTGGATTCTGCTCGATTCTTTTCGCCTCAGTTAAATGTGCTTAGCTCTTTCTTTTTTATCCCCTATTTTTCTTTGGACATTGGTTTGTTCAATTACAAGTCAAAATACCTAAGGTTTTTCCAAACGAGTATAACTATATATATATCTTACTTATTATAAAACGCAGATTGTGTGTGTGTGTCTGTAACGTTTATATATTGGATCGGATTTCTTACATTTTTTATCCGATTTCAACAAAACTTCACAGGACTACATAAAATTACCTTGTGGTGGTTCTAACGGCGCCGAAAATGGGAAAAACACAATTGTTTTTTAACAAAATCAATTTGAAAACACGATTAAGACACATCGTGAGAATGAAAGGGGACAACTCACATCGGGTTAAAAACCCACGGTGTGTGTGTGTGTGTGTGTGTGTGTGTGTTCCTTTATATATGGGATCGGATTTCTTACATTTTTCAGCCGATAAAACAAACATCCACTTTTTTTTTTGGCAGGTAGTGTTTCTTATTGTCTTGCACACTCTTTTTTCTTCATTTATACATTCAGAATGCTTTAAAAATTCCAGTTACAAGACAATTGTTTATAATAAAATTCTAATTCTATTCAATCGGGGACTCATCATAACGATTGAAAACAATGTTTTTGTTTGAGTTTGGGTTTGACCAATTCGTAAAAAAAAAAAAAAAAACTAAAACATGCGTGTCCGTCAACCTAAACAATAATCTAACGATCTCTACTGATTGTACGAATCGAAAAATCGGATAATTCTTTATCTTTAGGGAAAGATAATTCCACGTACTTTAGGGCCGTTTTTACAATTCCCTTTGCAATTTGTTACAAGGCAGATCAATAAGGCATTGGTTCTATTTGAAATTAATTCAATATTTAAAAGAAAGTATTAAGAAATAATTTAAAAATGCCGACGTAAGAAATCTGATAGACAAAAAACAAGATTTCGAAGATGATAATTATTAAGGAAAGAACACAGTACTTGTAATAAATTAATAAACCCAAATAAAGTTAATATTTTTTGTATTAGAAACAACGAGTGGAAAATATATTCAAATCAGAATTCTAATTATAAATCACCACAAGCAAAATATGCAATTTTTTTACTGTATTCAATAAGTAAAACTCATAAATCGTAAAAGATTACAGAGAAAAGCTACCTACATTTTTTAACCGATTTCAACAAAACTTCACTTTTTTTTGGCAGGTAGTGTTTCTTATTGTCTTGCACATTTTTTTCTTTATTTTTACATTCAGAATGCTTTCAAAATTCCATTTACAAGACAATTGTTTATAATAAAATTCTATTCATCAATCGATAGACTCATAACGATTGTAAACAATGTTTTTGTTTGAGTTTGGGTTTGACCAATTCGTAAAAAAAAAAAAAAAAAAAAAAAAAAAACTAATTAAGACATGCGTGTCCGTCAACATTAAACAATAATCTAACGATCTCTACTGATTGTACGAATACAAACATCGGAATAAATTCTTTATCTTTAGGGAAAGATAATGAAATCTAAACATACACAAGTCCTAACTAAAAATAATAAACGGAACGGGAAACTACTTTACATGGTGTCCAATTTTTTTACTGTATTCAATAAGTAAAAATCATAAATTGTAAAAGATTATTATATATTACAGAGAAGGCTACTAAATGAATAAGATTTGTTAGATCATAATTAATAAACCCAAATAAAGTTAATATTTTTTGTATTAGAAACAACGAGTGGAAAATATATTCAAATCAGAATTCTAATTATGAATCACCACAAGCAAAATATGCAATTTTTTACTGTATTCAATAAGTAAAAATCATAAATTGTAAAACTAAAAGATTACAGAAATGCTACCTACATTTTTCAACCGATTTCAACAAAACTTCACTTTTTTTTGGTAGGTAGTGTTTCTTATTGTCTTGCACACTTTTTTCTTTATTTTTACATTCAGAATGCTTTAAAAATTCCATTTACAAGACTATTGTTTATAAAATTATTCTATTCAATCGGTAGAGACTCATAACGATTGAAAACAATGTTTTTGTTTGAGTTTGGGTTTGACCAATTCGTAAAAAAAAAAAAAAAAAAAAAACTAATTAAGACATGCGTGTCCGTCAACCTTAAAAGATAATCTTTGTCAATTTTATTTTTCAGTCTTTATGATGGTGGATACTTGATCTATCTCTTACTGTTATATCCCCGGGCAACGCCGGGCTCTACTGCTAATATATATATATATATATATATATATATATATATATATATATATATATATATATAAACTCAAAATTGATACAATAATAGTTAATAAAAATGAAAACGCTACCACCCCTGTCTAAATGATTGGACTTCTCTGTATCCTTGGAAACAAAAAATTATGAATTGTATGTGCGTTTAAAACTCAGTAAATTTAAAAATATGTTATTCCAAAATTCGCTTGAAGATGAAACAGAACTAATGCTTTTAATTTAATTATGTAATTAAATTTGAAGTTTTTAGCTTCAGTTTTTGAAACATGGTAATTCCTGTGTAGCGAAGAAACCGTAATTTTAAATCAGTTAATTTATAATATTTATGCTCTGTAAATTTACATTGAGCACTGTTATGAAAAAAATAAAAATATCAGTAAGAACACCGGATTATATATCTAACTGTTCTTTCTTTTTATTATAATATATATATATATATATATATATATATATATGGAAACATATAGATTCCTGTCAAATATGCTATCATTCTTATAATATGGCTTGACATGGAGAGAAATGTAACATAACTGATGTGAATAGATATATAAACACACAAGCATGGATGGATAGACGGACACACAGACTAGGGTAGAAGGGTACATAGGTAAATACAAAAAGACAGATAGACACACACACATACGAGGATGGATCGATAGACAGAGATTAACACAAGAATGAATATATAGATATACATAGAGTTACATGGAAAAAAAAAAATATATATATATATATATATATATATATATATATATATATATATATATATACTGACAAAAAAAGAGCTCAAGGTATTTAATATTACAGAACAATATATTTAATAAACAATAAATTCCAAAATCGCCCCCATATGGAGCATAAGCTTATTTCGAAGACGAAGATATCGGTCGTCTGTCTTATGAACCCGGGTGTGGACAGAGAAGGGTTGATAAGACAGATAACTGATATCTTCGTCTGCCGAAATAAGATATTCACCATATGAGGTGATTTTGATTTTATTGTTATTTATATATATATATATATATATATATATATATATATATATATATATATATATATATATATATATGTATACTCAGTTCTGTGGGTGTGTGACCTTGGGTTTCACGCTTATGCGATCATTAGACAAACTGGTTTATTTTATAACATTGGATCTATTTATGCTTGTTTGACTGTGTTTGGTGGTGGGAGGGGGAATTTCCTTCCGTGCTTTTTCGGGATCACATTCTCATAAACATAGACACACATATATACAGGTGTATGCATTTTAGTTCACACAAACCAACCCATACAGTCAATCCGAGGCTAGGCGAAGATATCTATCCATGCGTTTGAGCATACATACTTACGAAAGTTGAATTCTATTTCGGTGGCTTTTTACGTGTAGCGATGTTCCTTTAAACTTGGAGCCGGCAGGGGTGTTCTTGACGCTTTTCAAATCTACCGCCTGCAACGTCAGACAAACTTACGCTGCCTCACACACACACACACACACAAACACACACACACAGACATGTAGACGTGCACATACATTCCTATTCGACTGGGTATTTGGATTATCTATACAACTGAATATGTTAGCTCTATCACTGATATTAAGCGCTTTCTACTAAGTACTGTATATATATATATATATATATATATATATATATATATATATATATATATATTTTAATTTTTTATAATCTTTTCATATAGACGAAAACAATTTACTCACTACAAAGATGCAACCTTGTTTCGGTGCATCTAGTTGCACTTCGACTGATGAGAACCAAAATGGTTATGTACTATTCTGAATTAATGCTGTGAACGTTAGAATTTATATATTATTTTCTTTCTCATTACATTCGATATATATATATATATATATATATATATATATATATATATATTACATAATAAATTGGAGATTAATTAGTTATCCTGATTTCCTATAAAATCTAATATTCATTTTAAAGCATTAATAAATTGTATCAAGTGTCCGTCGTCGAGTCATTTGAATTATAATATACTTGTAATTTGATTACGTAAAAATATCCACCCCCTAGTGGGTGTAGTGGTTTGTTTTGAACTTTTAAAACCTTTTTATTTTATAATCAACACCATCACATGACTAGACACCAGAAGTGTTAAAACAAAATGGCTATTTTTGTAGTGATGTTATAACATGCTTATATTATCATTTTTAAATAAATATTATATACATATATAAATTTCAAAGGCAACAACATCAGTTTCACTGTAGCTGCATATTCTAATCAATGATAATGTTAGATGCGTGCTTAAACCTTTATATTTAAGAACACCTAATGTCCGAGATAAAATGCATTTTTAATATAAATTTTGTAGGTTTAAATAGGGAGTTAAAGATGCTAAATTAAAAGAAAATTCACACCCTTACTGTGGCAAACAACTAGCTCAAAACTAAAAAAAAATCTCTTCAGTAATATAAACAAAAACGGAAAAAGAATTACGTCGGAAAAAAAAGAGCTAATTCATTTTTTCAATTATCTTCTGTCCGAAAATTCCGATTTTAAACATCTTTCTCTTCATGCTTCCATTTGTTCAAAATGACTAATATAATATAAATAACCCGGATATTAGAGTTGTCGGGACCGGATAACCTTATATCGGATATAAGTTTGGTCTATTTTTATACGGGACCGGATTTGGGACCAGAGAAAGTCTCTTATATCCGGGTTTCTCTTATATCCGGGTTTTGTCTATTTTATATACATTAACACAGGCTCTAATTTGGGACCAGAGACAATCTCTCTTATATCCGGGTTTCTCTTATATCCGGGTCTCTTATATCCGGGTCTCTTATATCCGGGTTACACTGGTATTATTATCAATATTATTATTTTTGATGTTTTCTTATCTCCCGAATTTCTTTCATCAGCCTACTATATCTACACATATATATATATATATATATATATATATATATGGATAGATATGTGTATCATTATCTATCTATGTATCTATCTACCGTATATACTAGCGCATTCTGCCCCTTTTGAAGACCTAATTTTGAAACTAATTTTAAGTCGGTCGCATTATACACGAGTTATAAAATTAACGTATGTACTCTTGGCCCTGACTATGCATTTGACCAGGCTATATATCCTTTTACTGCACGTACTGCTGCCTACTGAAAAGGATAGAAAGTACATGACAAGCAAAAATGCGATTACAAAGTATTTGATACTGTGAACCAAATATATGTGTAAAAGAAGGACCAGCGAGGCAGTATATGAGGTCCCTTCACATATTGCGAGGGAGCATCTAGCGGCATTCTTGATTTGATACGGAACTATGGGCGATGTGACATTAGAAAATGCACACGGTGATATTATGTTTGCTTAGCAAGCCTTCACCTCCATTCCCAACTGCCTGAACGTCAAACGGTAGAAGCTACCGGTTATCGCGACCGGCAAGAGAGAAGACATGGAGACAAAGGCTTTCGGGGCACCGCTTCAACCGAAGGAAGAAAACTTTCTAGCCAAAACTTTAACTACTGCGACACCTGTAATCAGCTATCTGTCATTTTTTGGTTCGTCGAGTCGTTCTTGAAATACGATATTGTGCTTTTTTACCCGTCCATTACATAGAAAATATACTGGTTAAAAGAATAGATTTACCAAAGAACTTTCTTAATATCCTGTTCCTAGGCCTGTAAATAATTATCTATCTATCTACCTGCGCATTATGCGACTTTTGAAACAAATTTTAAGGGGGTTTCATTATACACGAGTTAAAAAATTAGCGTATGTACTGTTGGTCCTGGCTAGGCTGTTGCCTAAACTATATATCAATTTACTGTAGTCAAATAAGATTCAGAATTGGTCTTCAAAGGTTACATCATACGCGTGTATATATGTTGTGACCAAGTAATGGTTAAGAAATAACAAATAAAGAGGTTGCAGATAAAGTGCATTGAACAGTAAATACAACAGAAGTGTCTTACACGACTTAGTAAGTGGAAGAATCCATAATAGACTCATTAGAGGAAAGACACTGCAACAATATATATATATATATATATATATATATATATATATATATATATATATATAAGTGAGCATTGAAGTTAACACTCAGAGGCGGCAAGTTGTTTCATGTTAGACGCAATCGTCAGACAGCGAGTGTTGGAGTTTTCCTCGACTAATATATATATAGGTCCGTGGTGCATTGTGTGTAATCCAATCTGGCGGTTATGGATTACCCACAATGCACCACTGATATATATATATATATATATATATATATATATATATATATATATATATATATATATAAATAGTGGAGGATAAATCCAACACTCGCGTCCTGGAAGATTGCGTCTAATATGAAACAGCCTGTCGCCTCTGAGTGTTGAGTTCAATGTTCACTTTTATATTTCTATTTACATGCGCTCTATCTTTGATACTGAGCACCTTATCCCGTAAATGTAGCACACCTTAAAACTATATTTCTTTATATATATATATATATATATATATATATATATATATATATATATATGCTCGTGTGCCTCTATATCTATTCACATAATAATGTTACCATTCTCCCTATGTAAAGTCATATTATATCCTTTCATGAATGATCCATATTTGACAGGAATCCATATGCTTCCACAAAAAACGAATTGCTCACTTAATGTCTTGCACATAAGTAATTACGAAATATTGATTCGAAGAACATTCGTGAACGAGCATAATATTTTTTACATCCTTTTCTCACTCTCTAACATATATATATATATATATATATATATATATATATATATATATATATATATATAGAGAGAGAGAGAGAGAGAGAGAGATGTGTGTGTTTGCGTTACTGCAGTATATTCTGTTAGCAAACGAACTTTGAATTTATGCCCAACGTCTGCTCTAGAAATTGTATCTCTTTCTCAGGGCTATTGATAGACATTTTATCGTCATAATTTTGTTATCGATTTATCATTAGGCATCAACGAACTACAAATCATTTAGATAAAGATCGTACATAAATGAATGTTATTTTCGTATTGCGAATTTACCTCACACTCTTTTTCACAATTTCGAAGCTGGCATCGACACTATTGTTATTTGCTTTCTGGAAAACAATTACGAAAATGTTGTTTTCATTCGTCTTTTACAAGGAGTGGGTGTTTCTCTGAAGAGTGAGGGTTAGACGCCATTTATAATTAACGTAGTCATTGTTTAAACGTCGCCTCAGCCGAGCTTTGAATTACGAACTAGCATTTTATTTTTTTAAATTAGAAGAAGTGAAAAACGTACATTTATTCTTCCGATTTACAATAACAGATTTTGCTAGAAAACCTATCTGATTTTCTTGATCAAGTTCAAGACATCTAGTAAGTCGTTATCTTACCCACATGTCCGCATAAACTGTGCCTCTTACTCCGTAACACTCTACCTCGAGTGGCTCACGAGCCGTGTACAGTTAATTTCAGTATTTTCCCATTCTGATACTGACATCTTTGCCTCACCAAAATGGCTTTATATGACACAGGAATGAATTAAATGTAGAGCGAATATAGTCATCGAAAACAAAAATAATATAATTTGGGATTCATCTTGAAGACGTGTGAAATCATTTCTGTGCAATATTATACGATATAAAGCTTCACAGATAATTAAGTTTATAGACAAAAGTATTTCTAGTAGACAGCCATATAGGAAATAGAAGCCTCTTTTTTATTTTACATAATGTCTATTATGTCTGTCAGCAAGCATTTAAAATTTATCGAATGCGTAGACTAAAAATAGGACGTGTATTTCAAACACGGGTATGTAATAAAATAACTTTTGAAGTAATAATATATATATATATATATATATATATATATATATATATATTTAAAAACTAGGAAACCATTGATTTTATTATTAAAAGTCTCTAGAGCCCTTTCAGCCAACATCTCATCAGGAGACAATCGTTGGATTAGCGAAATGAATAATAGCGATATTGAAGAGCAAAAAGAGGGGAAACACACTAAAATAACGAACAAGTATATATACTTGTAACGAGGAAGGGTTATCGTGTAAATAAATAGCGAGGACAGTTAAAATAAAATATCCCCAACAGATTCAGAGACCTTATAAATTCTTTTTCTGCCGGCAGAGAGAAGGTTTTCTAAATTCTATCCAGACCGATTCCAAAATCTTCAAATGATTATTGGAATCGGCTGTATGAATAATTCTAAACCACTCTTTTTTATACAACTTGGCACAATCTATATTCTCAACTAAATGTTGAGCAATAGCCGATTCCATATTCATGGGGGAAGATAGCATATTCTATCTATCTTACCAAGTCGTATTTTTTGGAAGGAACGTGCTGATTAATTCTAGTTTCCAAATGCAAGGTTGTACGCCCCACATAACCAGTAGCACACTGGCAATTAAATTCATATACTAAATATATATATTTTAAAATATATATATATATATATATATATATGTATCCCTGACGATCAGCTTGGTAGGTTTGATTATATATATATATATATATATATATATATATATATATATATATATATGTGTGTGTGTGTGTGTGTGTGTGTGATTATATATATATATATATATATATATATATATATATATATATATATATATATATATATATATATAATCAAACCTACCAAGCTGATCGTCAGGGATACACACACACACGCACATGTATATAATGTTTATAGAAAATATTGTCAGGTGATATTAACAAAGAGTTAAACTTAATTTGAAAATTATTGGATTTGTAAAACTAATTTGAGAATTTGAAAAATTAATTTCCTGTTGTTAATACATTTAAAATAATTAAATGAATGTTTTCATATTCTTTGTTTTTGCCAGTGATTCAGACTCAAACACAGAAAAATTATATCTATTTACATTATCTATGTCTTTTCTTTCTATCTACCTATCTATCTATCTGAATCTTTTACACTTTATCTGTCTATATGTCTTTTCTATCTATCTATCTATCTATCTATCTATCTATCTATCTATCTATCTATCTATCACAGCCTGTTCATTATCTATCTATCTATCTATCACAGCCTGTTCATTATCTATCTATCTATCTATCTATCTATCTATCACAGTCTGTTCATTATCTATCTATCTATCTATCACAGCCTGTTCATTATCTATCTATCTATCTATCTATCACAGCCTGTTCATTATCTATCTATCTATCTATCTATCTATCACAGCCTGTTCATTATCTATCTATCTATCTATCTATCTATGTATCTATCTATCTATCTATCTATCTATCTATCTATCTATCTATCACAGCCTGTTCATTATCTATCTATCTATCACAGCCTGTTCATTATCTATCTATCTATCTATCTATCTATCTATCTATCTATCTATCTATCTATCTATCTCTTTCTTCTAATTTACTATCTATTCGACTCTCCTTCGTATTCCTATTACGATCTATCTATCTATCTATCTATCTATCTATCTCAGTCTTTCTTTTTTCTTTCTTTCTTTCTATCATATAATCAGATATTTCCTTTTATGTTTCCCTTTCTCTTTCCTTCTGATTCACTCTGTCTCATTATATTCGTCTCCGCTCTCTGTTCATCTGTCTATCTTTCTACGGTCATATATATATATATATATATATATATATATATATATATATATATATATATATATATGAAAATGCGCATGGAAAGCACTCTGTAATAATTATTTTAAATACATATAAACAAACACTGTTATAGTTCATTTAAAAAATCACTGTTAAAGCTATGTGGAGTAACTTTATTTTATATAATTGTAATTTTTGTAATTACAATTTAACAGTTTTAAAAGCATTGCTATTATAGACTTTTTTTGTTATACTCATAACTAACCTTATTTATTATTCGTTGTATTTTTATTATATAGATAGCCTGAAGATGTTTTTGCTTTTCATTTTCATGGTGGAGTATACTTGTATTGTCAATTACCATATCTCTAAGTAAACTCCACCATGAAAACAAAAAACGAAAACTTCAAATTCTTGTCCATATATATTAACAAACTATCTGCCGTAATGTAATTATTGAACAACCGCGGAAAGAAACGATTTATCCTGCCATATTCACATATTTTCTTTTCAGTCAGCAGAAAGAATAAATGTAGTCGACACAGAGTAGGGTACAGTTTGATGACAGTTTGAGAGAATACCTTTTCGTTTGCCGTAATACTAA